GTTCTTTGACTGACTGACTGACTGAGGAGGCGAGCTCGAAACCCTTTCTGCTCCGCCGCGTAGCCTTCGCAAGTCAAATCTCTTCCCCACACTCTCCAGCATCCTGACCATGAGGTGACGTGCGCATGACGTTCCCAAACAAGTCCAACCACCGTGACTGCGAGCAGCGTTCCTTTGTTGACCAGCGTTATTTTGTGGTCTTCTGCCTGTTTCTGCGGGATGGTTTGGAAACGCTAGTTTAGATGCGGTAGAGTAGATGAGAACAATGAGTATGCGAACGCGTAGGAGCGTTTCACGTCGGTCGTCAGCTCAATGCGCTGATCACGGGGACCCGAACGCATGCGAAACGCTGGCACATTCGCCTCGCATCTCGTAGAATTTCACGGGAAAAATAAAAGAAAAGCGCGCACAATTTCTTATCGCGTCTCATTATTTATTTCAAGTTTTATTACTCTCTTAAAGGAACAAATACATAAACTACGCATGTTGTGTTAAATAATTTTTGCCATGTCACGTGGTATACTGTTGACAACGTCTGAGCACACTCGTCTACGTAAAGGGCCAACGTCTCTGCATTGCCGTGTACATAGGGCCATTCCTACGCCCACGTCATGCCCTCATTCTCTACGCGTGCGCAGGTAGAGGGGTGGGGGAGCAGCTTTGATCTTGAAATTCGACCCATTTCCGCGGCGCGTAGCGTTGCAAAGTTTGGCAGACGTGATCATGAACGCCTCGTCTATGCATTGCACTTGTCAGCTTAAAATTGTCAAACCTGGTGAGGGGCCCTTTAACGTGCACCCAAATCTGAGTACACGGGCCTACAACATTTCCGCCTCCATCGGAAATGTAGCCGCCACAGCCGGGATTTGATGCAGACGCCACAGCCGCGACCTGCGGGTTAGCAACCGAGTACCTTAGCCACTAGACCACCTTGGCGGGGCGAAAAGTTTGATGCAGTCGTAGAGGAACAGACGGATAGGCTGCCTGTCAGAATGACGGCTTCTGATAATTATAGGAGTATTTCCGTAGAGCTAATATAATGGCAAGTAATTCCGCATGATAAATAGGAGTAAAGTCAGTTAAACGAATTGAAAAAGACCAATCTTAATATAAAGATGCAATTCTCACCACTGCCTTTTCTTCACAAACTGAAGCTTCGGTTGCTATCACTGCAGCCGTTTCTAATCCAGATAAATGATCCTCCAAAATGCAATTTATGTATATACTGCATAAATGTTTGCAATTCTTGGGAAATATGTCATCAAATTCTATTCGACTTGTTTGTACAGATCTGTTTATGATTAGCATCTCACGGAGCTGCGTTTGTAATGTTTCCAATTGTGTATGCGCGAAAATGACTTGGGGATACCATAATCTTGGCCACAGATGGCCGAAAAATTGCGTCGGATGATTAAGAAAAATATATTGCGATCTCTTCGATGGCGATGCATAGATCTTCAGAAATGTACGCACGGTTAGGATGTTAAACCGAGTACGAAGAGAAGGCAGGCGTGCTTCTTTGTATAAAATAGTATTTGATACAAATATTGCAAGTCCAAGACATATACGTAATGATTCGCGTTAAAAAAAAACCAGTAGTCGTAGTTTGTATGCCGGTGCACCAGAAAACAAGACGCAGCCGAACTCTAATATCGGGCGAATATACATGCAGTAAATGATGTTGAGAACATCACGGCGTAAACCTGAACGTTTGTTGCTGAGTCTACGAAGCATCCCCGGCGCACGTGTTCCTTTGGCAGCCATATTTTCTATATGTGGACTCCAATGAGGTTTTTCAGTATAAGTGATCGCTAAATGCTTCACAGATTCTACCTGCGGGATAACGTCTTGCCGGTAATGCAAAGCGATTTGAAACAGAACACTCAGAGGAAACAACTACCATCGCGCTTGACATCAAGTGATATCAAGTGATAAATTAACACTTTGGCATCAAGTGACATCAAGCGATAAATTAATTTGTTTAACCACGTTTCTAGAGCGTTCCTATACGTCCGCAGACTACGATAAAGTGAATGTGTACTTGCAGCTGTAGCAAAAAACGCGATATCATCGGCATATACATACACTTGTACGTCCATCTGTACAGGAATAGTGCATAGTAAAATATTAAACAATAGTGGCGATAACAGTGATCCTTGTGGGAAACATTAGTGTGTTTGTGCCTTAGAGACGACAAACCACAGGGAGAACAGTAAAATTCCCCGTCGTTTAAGAAGGAATCTACCCATGCTACAAAGTACTGTGGAGAGCTGCGTTTTTAAGTGAATTTATTAGCTTTGAATGTTCCACGCTGTCATACGCTTTTGTGATGTCTAGGGTTACTAAGGCGGCATATCGTTTCTTATAACGGGCCAGCTGTATTCTACTTTCTAAATCGACATGGGCGCACCAAATTCAACCACGCCTGAAGCCAATTTGGCATGGGCTCAAGACCATGTTTTCCTTCAATTATCTATCCTAATGTGTAAGATCCTTTCAATTAGTTTTACCAGATTAGATTTAAGTGCTATAGGCCTGATGTTATTTAGTGTAAACCCAGCACCTTGTTTTTTACTAAAGAAATAATCTTAGAAATTCTCCAATCAGGTGGAATCCATGCGTTTCTGATAGTGGTTAATCAATGTCAGGAGTTTCTGGGGTAGAACCTTATGGATGACTTTTATTGTTGAGAAGTAGTTATGCCATCAGGACCTGGTGCAGTATTGGGCAAATTTCTTACTACTTGTTCCAACTCCGAAGCAGCGGTCTCCTCAAAACCGTCACTTTTCTCGGGAGACCGAAAGTGGTTTGAGAAGGCAGACATAAAGCGACTTTCAAGTCCTTTTGCAATACCTTCGATAAAACTAGACAGTTCACTTGGAGTAGAGACCACTGATTCAATGTTGTTGGATGAAGGTATAAGGTTTTTGGTTCTGAGGAAATTAAAGAAGGGTTTTCTGTTGCTAGGTTTTGACAGAAACTATGAACGCTGAATATCATAGTTGCCTTTCGCAGTGAAAACTGTTCTCTTAAAAATGGCAGCCGCATATTTGGAATCACGCCAATTTCTAGGGCATTGGTTGTAATGCAGTTTACGCCACGCAGCTCTTCTTAGCCCTTAATGGCGTGCACAAGCTTAATTCCACCAAGTATTAGCAGGACCTTTGTTGGATCCCGTTACGTTTACGTTGAATTTTGATTTATTTAAGGATTCTTTTATCGAGTTACTCAAATTCAGGGCAGTTTTCTCTTCACTTTCAACTATTCAGTTTGACCAGGTGGCCCGTAGTGATTTTTCAAGTGTACTAAAATTGACGTGGGTTATTGATTGGCTGGTTACAGAGATCACTGGACATACCATCTCTAAATATATAGGCAAGGGGTCACTACTTGTACCCAAGTTCAGGGTAGAGCATGAAGAGATAGTGAGGTTAGAACTGTAGAAAGTAAGATCAATCCTGGAACGATGCCCACTACTAACAATAGTGGGTGTTCGAGTGTTAACTCATGTTAGGTTATACTGTGAAACCAGATCGCACAAACGCTTCCCACTCATATCGGTTCTGAAACCCCACGATGAACGGTGAGAATTGAAGTCACCCGCCAATACTATGTGTTTCCTACACGACGAAATTACTGAATTAAGCACAAGTATTTTGAACACCGGCTGGAAAATAAGCATTCACTAACGAAAAGGGGGAGTATCCCGGAAGAGGGACATCTAAAGCTAAAATTTTATTGTCCGAAATCATTACTTGATTTGTAATTTGATCTCAATGAGGAATTTCTAAAGTAATAAATACGGCTTAGCCGCCATCCCTAAAGGGCTGGTCTAACCTAAAGGTGCGGTAATTTTTTATATAAAAACTCTTTTCTTGTGAGAGCCCAATTTCTTGCGAAATATTACGTCAGGAACATATTGATTACAAAGGTAGTATAAATCAGTTGTTGCAGAAAAAATGGACCGGCAATTTCACTGTAATATTTCCAATCCACCAATTTTGACGACAAACCTCGAGTGTGGTCATAGAGATTCCGAATTATCACGTGCGTTTTTTTTTTCATTTTCTAGTTCAAACTAGTTTCTAGTTCTAGTTCCAACAATTGATTTTATTAAAATAATATGAGCATCAAGTTCACAATAGACAAAATTGATGAAGTGGTGGACATTCTGGTGAAAGCCGCTATTTGTGGCGTAACACTAGATTATTTCCACATCAGCACTCATGATTCGTGATAGATTTAGAAGGCGTGCCATAATCCGACGCTCTCGTAACACATTAACCACTCGTCTAAACGAATATCGACACCCCTTGTTATCATTGCGTACGAATTTCTGTACAACACGCGAAGAGTGAGTTATTTTTACAAACTTACGCTGTCGCATTCCGAAATTAGATAACTGGGTCATTCTCTTCTTTCCTCGTTCTGAAATACGGACCGAACTATCGAGCATTACTTTTTGCCCTGCAACCGCTCAAATTTGCGGATTGAAAACGTTCCGAAAGTGTTTTTTATCCAATTACAGTGGATTTTTCTACTTATCATTATTTATCCTTGGCATCTCCCACATTGGGTTGTTGTCACCGGGATATCTGTATGACTGCAGAAAAACTTGAAAACAAAATGAGCGCAGTTTATGTTTTGAGTCCCTAAACTAGAATAAATAACAATTCTAACCATTCTATACTGTAATATTCATGCGGTTTCAATTTTATCTACAAGTAGTTTGTTTCTTTGCCAGTCTCTAAGAGTGGGTGTGAGCCATACACCTGGGCCGTTCTCATCCTTCCCATCTCTATGAACGGGTGGCGTCACTTGAGCTGCAAATTTCTACCACTGGACCGAATGGGCTGATCGATCTGTTTCAACAAGTGAACTTGCTAAGCGGAGCCACAATAGAGGCCCTCTCGAATGCTGTTCGGCACCAGCGCAACACTGCTTTTCAACGCCAATCATTTCATATCTACGGCTTTGGAGTGTGGCATATCGGCGCGCTAATGGACGAAATAATCGAGGGAGTTCCGGGGCAAAATGCCAAACACATGTTTTGGCTGTCCGTCTTCCACGGAAAAGAGGGCATGAGACCGGTACTGCCGCAGGGAGACGAAGAGCCCGTTTTGTACTTGAGTAGACGGTACTTCGGAGAGGTACCCACTGGCCGGGCCTGTAGCGCTAGAAACAATCTACGGGTGCGTCCAATCGTGAAGGACATCTACCACGAACACGTCACGACGGCACAGCGACCGGCGGAAGAAGTGGAAGCATATCGGAGGGCCAACGATATCGTTGTCACGGGGCGCCACGTTCCGAAGCCCATCCTGCACATCGATGAAGCTGGGTTTCCTGGGTACATATCGGATGTCGTCGAGGCGTGCAACAATGGTCGAGGCCTCAGTGCGATTCAAGCGCAATGCTGGCCCGTAGTGCTTGGAGGTAAAGACCTTGCCGCCTTCATTTACGACAAATCAGAAGGCAAGCACATCGCCTACCTCATTCCGGCCATTATACACATAATCCACCAGCCGGCCGAGTTGCGCGCATGTGGACCTTTAGTGCTGGTGCTTACGGCGACTCGGGAAGAAGGCTTACAAGCTCGGAGTGTTGCCGACGAGCTCAAAGTGAAGACGGGAATTCGGACGATGTACCTCCTGCCTGGGGAACCGCGAGAACCGCAGCTCAAGCAGCTTGAGGAAGGTGCCAAAATTTGCTTCGCCACGCCCAGCCGCCTCGTGTCTTTGATGAAGGAGCGTAAGATAAACCTGCGGCGCTGTGGTTACATGGTGCTGGACGGAGCTGACCACATGGTGACGATGGGCTTCGGGAAGCAGCTTCGCGTCCTTGCGAAAAACACCCGTCATAAGCACCAGACGCTGGCGTGGCTTTCATCGCGCATGATGGATGCGCTCCAACTCGTAGAAGAATGGACGAATGATTGCGTCACAGTAAGCATCAGAGCGGCGATCCACGAGGATCACACCCGGGTTGAGCACATTGTTTGCGTTTGCGAGATGGCGTAGAAGGAGAGAAAATTGGTGGCACTCTTGAATGACGTCCTTACTGAGGACGCTGACAAGGGCATCGTCTTTGTCGGAAAGAAGCAAACGGTGGAAGACATCGTGTCCAGTCTACGTCTTCAAGGTTGGTTCGCGGTCGGCATCCATGGCATGAAAAGTGAACAAGATCGTGAGTCCGCGTTGAACGACCTGCGGTTCAGCAATGCGTCCGTACTGGTGGCAACCGACGTGGCGGTTGCTGCTTTGACAGCTTTCAAAGTGCGTTTCGTCGTGAACTACGACTACCCGAGCAGCGATTGATTTGATTTCTGGGGTTTAACGTCCCAAAACCACCACATGATTATGAGAGACGCCGTAGTGGAGGGCTCCGGAAATTTTGACCACCTGGGGTTCTTTAACGTGCACCCAAATCTGAGCACTCAGGCCTCGACATTTCCGCCTCCATCGGAAATGCAGCCGCCGCAGCCGGGATTACCCGAGCAGCGAGGATGAATACTTGCGCTGCTTGAAGTATGCGGCTCGGCCCGATGGAAGGGGTGTGATGTGCACGTTCCTAGCTCCGGACGAAACTGCACATGCCAAAGAGCTGATTTCGTTGCTTCGAAAGGCCGGGCAGAATGTACCGCCACAGCTGAGGACGGTAGTGAAAAAAGTAGCGAGGAAGTAGCCACTGTACCAATATTTACTCGAGCGACTATGGGATCAGTCGTGCAGGAACACTCCCATTGAAAATTTCTTGCTGTGTCCAAGTGGACGATTACTACAGAAGTGTTCTAAATTTTTAAAATTGCCTGAGCTTGATGTCAGGAAGAGTGACGTATGAGAAAATGAAAACAAAATCAATAAGAAACGTATCAAGAACCGTGCACGTGTATTTCCCATGGCGTTAGAAGTATTGAAGTGTAAACGGCGCTCCCGCAAATGCAGAACGGCTGCCCTTGTTTTGTGAAGAAGGCCCGAGATGGCACCACAGTAACCATGAGCGAGGCGAGCTATCATTGATGGTCGTTTCGGCGCCGTAGATGGTCATCGAAATAGACAAAAACAAACAAACAAAAACACTGTCTCCACTCTATAACAAGAGCAAAAATTAATAAGTGAACAAATGCCGTGAAGAAATGGGAAATTATGCCAATGCAGCCGCAGACATCAAAGGGAGAGTGTTCAATGCACCATCTTGATGGTCCGCAATAAACGGATGCTTCCGCATCTGGACAGGTGAAATGGTGCATTTAGATATAAGTCCATGAAGTCACGTTAAATAATAATAAAATATAGTGTTGTTTCTTGAAGTATTCTTTGCAGAAACAAAAATAACCTATTGGCCGTAGTATTACAGCAGGGTCATTCCATGCCAAACGTCCCAAACACTTTGGTGACAATCTCAAATGTGTTTGAAAAACAAAATTGTGAAAATTAATTGGATTTAAAACAGTGAAACGGTAGAATACTTATGACAGAAAAAAAACTTTTGGTCACGTGGCTGACTTCTGAACTTCCCGGGTCGTCGTTCAGGTGTTGTTTCTAGAAAAAGTTTTTTTAAAAGTGCCGCTCCTATTTTCGATACAAAATTTTGTCTACATGTTAAGTAAAGGTTCTTGTGTAAGGTGTTTGAAGCTAAGCAATATTAGAGCATTTTTCTGGCACATACGCCTCCAAGAATATAGCCGAAATGTGTTAAGTGTGCATTTTTTCCATCGCAGTACTGCACTTTGTATGAATATCTCAGTAATTATATACTTATTTCAAAAAAGAAATATTTTGAGAAAAAAATTATTACAAGCCTTTCACACTGCCTGAATTTGCGATAAAAATTCTCAAATTTCTGAAAATTGTTTTTTTTCACATTGAAAAAGAATTTGCACTATGTCCTCGTCCGAATTAAAAATCACCATTATACTTAAATCAAAAGCAAATAAACAATTTTTTTCATATGGCAAATGTTATCATTAAATTTTTTATCTTAAAGAAACAAAATAATTTTAAGAAAGTTTTTATAGGAAGTGTTTTAAGGAAGCCTTAAGGAAGAACACAAGTTTTCCCTTTGACGGCAAAGAAGAATTTCTAGGCGGCAACTGTCGTAAGAACAAATTGGGAGATAGCCGCCAAAGGGAAACTTCAAAAATTATTTAAGGTGCCTTACTAGTAGTGAAAACTTCAGAAAACATGATTCTTCTCTACCTGACAACGTTAACCTTGTGTTAAGCTCAGGCTGTTGTTAGGAAAGGCACGCTGCTTTCGTTCTCAAAAACTGCCTCGATGGAACTTGTGGGTGATACCAGTGACTGGCTTTGCATCTCGCAGACCAAGCGGCATGCCTGCTAGGCCTCCGGTGGCGTGAGTTTCTGAAAAATGGTTGTGTTTTCCAGTTTGACACAGCGCGTTTGATGGCTAGAAGGCGCGAACAATCCGCAGGCACTTTCCTTTTTTGCTCGGGGAGCAAGGCAGTCGGAAAACATCTTCGGCACGGCGTCCTTAGCTAGAGACGCCTTTCGGGATGCACTCACGAAAACGCGTCCCTCGTAGACAACTTCTGACGTATTCATTGTGTACCTCGGCTCGAAGAGCTTCGCGCAGACGTAATCAGTCAAGTGCCGGCACGCGGTCCTTGCATGAAGTCACGCATTTCAGGCCTAATAGTTGATTCTTTTTATGCAAGTACTGAAGTGGACTCGTGGCAGAATAACCAGACAATAAGTTTCACAATCATGAGCAATAATTACTGAAACTCACACTAAACAACACATTTCTGCAGTTTTCATTCTTGGATTGTTATAATAAGTCTCTCAAAATCACACAACGTGAATTTCACGCGTTTCTGACTGTCCATCTTACTTTGGGACTGAAGGGGTTAGAGTGTGAAGTTTGACCGGAGTGTTCGGTCATGCTGTCCCCATAGTTTCTGCTTCTGTTGCAATATTTCTATAAAGCTGATAGCTTTTTCTGAAATGACCTAAGCATGGAATAATTGGCTGGTTTTAGTTTTCCTTTCTATTTGTCTAACCGATCAGTGGCTTCGAAATAAGTTAGTTAAGTTTCATTGCGAAATATTCGCTGCGCAACTGAAGTACATATTGATCCGTGTCTACATGTGGACAAAAACGATGATGGGGGGATTTAGCGGACACCAGGTGGTGGGCCTCTGGCTTGGCGTGAGAACGAAGAAGATCTTGTGGCTCAGCTGTTGAGAACACGCTGCTTTCGCTGCCTCAAGGCGTACTTGTGCGTTGTTCGCATTGTACTGCGACACTGGTGGAGGTGCTGGCCCGCGACCCCGCCTGATGCTCCACACTCCCACGGGGAGCCGTTCATCCAGCCCAGAAGCACTTGTCAACACTCCCGTGCATCGCTTCAGCCGTCGCTTGCGAGGCCTCCTTCCAGAGTTCATTCTCTCACAGGAACACTCTACAAAGCACCGCTCAGATCGACCAATGGCCACCGCCAATCCACAACAGTTACTACGAGACAGTAGTTTGCCAACCCCATCTCAGGTAACCTTTTTTTCACCGCTGGTGCCTGATCGCTTTGGTGGTGGAGCGCATGAAGACGTCGAAAAATGGCTTGATCACTATGAACGTGTCGCTTACACCAACCAGTGGTCCCTTGCACAAAGGCTTTCCCGCGCCTATTTTTATCTCGATGACAGCGCTAAAACTTGGTACGAGAACAGAGAAGGCAGTTTGTCATCATGGAGCGACTTTAAAAGTGGGATGATTGACACATTTGCCGATGTTGACCGGCGCGAACGTGCGCAGCATTTACTCGAGCTACGGGTTCAGAAACCCAATGAAACGGTCGCAATGTTCGCTGAGGACATGGCCCGTCTCTTCCGTAAAGCTGACCCGCACATGACCGACGACAAAAAGTTGCGCTACCTCATGCGCGGTGTTAAAGAGCAACTGTTCGCCGGACTTTTGCGGAACCCGCCAAGCGCCGTGACAGACTTCATCAAAGAAGCTACGGCTATCGAACGGGCGCTTCACCTACGATGCCGACAATACGATCGCTTGTCCAGCAGCGCCCACATGCAAGTCGCCGCTACGGCATCTGACCATCAAAGCTCGTTGCGCGATTCGATAAGAGAGATTGTTCGCGAAGAGCTGCTGAAGTTCCGAAATCTGGTGACGGAACCACCCATGGCGTCTGTCGCTGAAGTCGTCCGCGAAGAAATACGCCAAGCGTTTTCAACAGCTGATCCTACTGACGATAAGCAACTTATGAGCTACGCAGCCGCGCTTCGCCGCCCGCCGCCCGTTGCGCCGTCGTACCGCCAGCCATCGGCAGCCGTTCCTTGGTCACCACAAGAACAGACACCGCGACGTCCTGCCGTCGTACCGCCGTACGAAATGCCGCCGTACCAAGAGCCGTCTCCCAACGAGACACGGCATTTGCCACATTACGAGCCATTGCGACGTCCACAGCTTCGTAAAACAGACGCCTGGCGCACTGTAGATAGGCGCCCGCTTTGTTTTACCTGTGGAGGGGTTGGCCACATTTCCCGCCATTGTTGGCACCACGTAGATATGTTTCGACCTCTTCGCCAATGGTCTGACGATCGACGCGCCAACGACGGCTACGCACCACGCCGGGACACTCATTCTCAAGGACTCCCCTTGTCTCAGTCCCATTTTGACAACCGCCGTGCCAATAATTACGACAGTGTGCCTGATTACCAGCCAGGTATGGGACGTCGACCACGCTCTCCGTCTCCGGCATATTCGCCTTCGTCGCGCCACCGAACTACAGCCGACGTCAGTGGAAGGAGGTCACCAAGTCCAAGCCAGGGAAACTGAAGGCGGCGACCTCCGGGGGTGAGGTTGCAGGCCGTCAAGGCGACGAAAAAAAGCCCCCGTTACTTGTACCACAGGACGCTGTAAAGCCGAAAAGTTGTAACTCCGACGAAACTGTGACCACAGATCTCACCGTTCCGGTAGACGGACAGCAAGTAACAGCCTTAGTTGACACCGGCGCCGACTTTTCTATCATAAGTGAAAACCTTGCCG